GACAGCTCATAATATGGTTGTCAGTTTTACCCTTTGGGCCTTACTACCAAGCGACTACCTCCTCTGCACAAAATTCAAATTTAGGATGAATAAGAAATTAAGAATACACTTCATCATAGTTTGGAATGGTACAAATATCCTACCACCAGTTTTCTACACTAAATATTCCACCTTTGGATTCTTCACACACTTTTAATCATGAAGATGGTTGAAGCCTATTCATCAGGATTCCTCTACTCTAGAGGCTCTGCAGGTACTGCCTCCACTGTCTTCAACGTAATCAACACTCTATCAGGTAATATATTATATATACGTATTGGTTTGAAAATATTTATAGTTTCTAATTTATTTATTTTTTTCTCTGCATTTAGTTATTTATTTATTTTTGTGACTACACTGTTGGAAAGGTAATAATATAATATGCATCAAAGGAACATTGATTACAGTATACGATACATTGCTCAATCCAGTCTCGAAGTATGCATTGACGGTAATACCAATTGTGCACACTATTGAAAGCCGATTCTGCCATTCTTGCAATCAGAGAGTACTCTTTAGCCTTTTGTTCAAGACCTGCTTGGTGATGAGCACCGTTGTCATAGTTGTGACTATCCCCCTTTTTGAACACCTCATGTCACTCGTGGGAGCTTTTCTAGGTTTTCTAACATCTATTTTACTGCCATGTTTGTGCTACTTAAAGATTACAAATAGTTACAGATTAATTGAATTGGGGATTATAAGTGGCATCATGTTAACGGGTATCTTCACAACAATTGTTGGTACTTATACGTCTTTGAAATAAATAATGAGACACTTTGTAACTACTTGTGAGGAGGGTCAGATTTCTCTTAGTGGAATTAATGGTGAGGAGGGTCAGATTTCTCTTAATGGAATTAATGGGAGTTTTAGTTATTGAAGATTGTGTGTACTAATAGTACGTTACATACTTTTACATGGTTGATATTCAGAGGAACGTTTTATTCGAAGTGTGATATTTCCATAAATAAAAAAAAATGTTTGCCTTCAAATGTTTAGAGTTCAGAGACACACAACCACACGGACTCACACTCTCTTTCTGTGTGTCGTGACTAAGCAATTGGATCCAGGAATAATTATGTAGTGGGCCTGAGATAGGCAAGTACTTTAATAAGGCCATTAGGCCCATAACAATAGCATGGCCCAAACATATGCTCACAGAAATAGAAAAACATCAGCCCAACAAAAGAAATGAGCCCAAAAGAAGAAAAAGCAGTCCAAATGGGCTCAAAATGCTGAGAGTTTATCTTGATCGAATTATTTACAATTTAAGAAGAAATAAAACATAGAGTTCCATTGTGAGCTTGCTCCAAATCTTTGTATTTATATATTTCTTCTCTGTTCACTGTCTGGACCCCCTTTTTGTTCGGTCCAAAACAATCTCATATTTTTCCATTAGTCACTTATCACAGTCCTGTGGACTGCTTTTAGAAATAACACACGCTTTTTAGTTTTCGGTAACATACTTTCAGGCTCTTTAATTTCTTTCTATTGCATGTGATAATTATTTTTTCTGATTTTATTTTATTTATTTCTTTTTTACATGGCAGTGCCGTGATTAATTCGATAATAAAATATCATAACTTTCTCTTCCAATTTCCATTTATTTTTCTCCTCCTCATTTTTTACTTTGTGACACTTCCTGTTCCTTCTTTTTTCTGGTCACACGAACATGACCATGCAATGGTACTAGAACATCAAAATCTACAACTAGGAAATTGATGGCATGGCCATTCACAACCTGTACATCATTTTTGCACCACCTATACATGTTTTTCGTCAATTGTTACTCCTCGAATACAGATATACATGTGGTATGCCCCCATGTGTGACCCTGGAATCCAAATAGCCCAGAGAATTGAAATACAAATAAGACCGTTGCAATTGTCATTATTAGTGAACCCGGTTGTATTATCTTTTTATCATTGAGATATGAAATTATTAGACGGTCTGAAACCATTTACGAATAAAGTTCATTAATCACCATGATAGTTTTATTTATGATTTTCATGAAAACTGGAGAAACTTCAGTTAATTTTTTCTCCTTTTTTTGGATTTAGCTACCCATATCATTAGTTTAATCCATCAATTTATTTAATTTTTATAATAACTAAGAAACTGCAATCAATATACAAAATGAGATAGAGGTACTTACTATTTGTGATGGCCTATATTAAGAATTAATTTTCAACATGCATGACAGCATGGGACCATTTTCATTTCAAAAAATTAATAATTTAATCAAATTAGTTATAAATATTTATGAAACCTTTAGCCCATTAAACTATGAATAAATGACCAAGAAAATAAGCTTTATTTATTTATTGTTTTTGAAAGGTAAGTTTTCAATTTTATAGATATAGCATAAACAATTGTACAAGCCCAATCTAACAGCAGGACATCTGCAGATGCAAAACGAGTAAACCCAGCCCAATAGCAACCCACCTAGGCAATCAAGAAAATAAGCTTTTCTTCTTCTGCAATCCACTGGTGAACTATCAGAATGAATAAGAAACTAAGGCCTCGTTTGGCATGCGTTTTTTCCTGTTGTTTTGTTTTTGGGCTGCTATTGTGTCAATTTTAGTAACAAAAGCATATTTTGTGTGGTCTTATTTTATTTTACATAGTGTTAAAACACTTCGTGAATGGTGGTCCAAAATTAAAACACTAAAAAGTTGTTTTTCTTGTTTCTATTTCCGACATTTCCACAACAAAACATCGTTCCAAACGTTCTTTTGATTTTTTTTTTTTCAAAATACTCTTATAGCAAAAACATTGTTTCTATTTTAAGCAAAAACAAAACGTCTAAAATAAAGTACATGCCAAAATAGCCCTTAACATATATTATATATATTAAAAGGGCAAATTTCGTAAAACATCCAATACTTTCATTTTTTGATCATAAAACCCCAACTTGTTTCTAAAAACCTCTATACTTTTAAAAAGTGTTCACATTGCCCCAATATCCGTATCCGACCCGTTAATTGGGCTGTAAAATGACAAATTTGACCTTGCTATTTAATATTAAATTAAAAATAAAAAATATTTTTATTAAATTACAAAATTACCCTCTTCACGCGCCTATCGCCACCCCAGCCTTTCGCTCCTTCATCACGCCCCTCACCTCCTCCCTTTGTAGGCTTAGCCCAACGCCGCCCTTGGTTAGAGCTTGTAGATCGCTCCTCCCTCGCCCTCCCTGACTCCTTCATCGATTCTGCTTCTCGCATCTGCAAGAACTTCTCCTACTTTCGCGTTTACTACGTCACTCTACTCACCCTCGTCTTGGCTCTCTCTCTCTTCTCTCACTCCTCGTCCTTCTCGGACTCTCGTCTCCTGGTTCTTTCTCTACCTTTTCCGACCCTCCGATCACCCTATCGTCCTCTTCGGTCGCACGTTCACCGACTGAGAAACACTCAACGTGTTGGTGGTCTCCACTATAGTTGTGGTGTTCCTCACCAACGTTGGATCGTTTCTGATCTCTGCTTTCCTCGTCGGATTGGCGATTGTGTGCACCCACGGAGCTTTTAGGGTTCTGGATGACCTCTTTCTTGACGATCAAGAACCTGCCAATGCCGGATTCCTCTCTTTCCTAGGCAGCGCCGCCTTATCCGTTGCCGAAGCTGCAGCTCCGGCCATTGTCGTACGCGTATGATGAAGTTGGAATTAGATCTGATCTGATTCGATCTGGCTAGAGGCCACTGAGGTTTGTCAGGATTAAAAAATCGATTCCTCTCATACCACCCAATTCACCATTGCAGAGACCACCACACACAGATAAGGGTTGGTTTGGTGAGTTTGAAACCGACTTTTGAAGGAACTGAGTTGACTCAGGTGGGCCTATGCTTACTATTTAAGGGTGTTTTTGTAATTTAATAAAAATATTTTTTATTTTTTAATTTAATATTAAATGATAAGGTCAAATTTGTCATTTCACAGCCGAATTAATGGGTCGGATACGGATATTGGGGCAATGTGAATACTTTTTAAAAGTATAGGGATTTTTAGAAACATGTTGAGGTTTTATGATCAAAAAATGAAAGTAATGGAGGTTTTACGAAATTTGCCCATATTAAAATTGATTTCGATTTTACTTACGCGTATATATACACAGTACTGAATAAAAAAGATAGGAGCTAAATAGTAATTAAAGCACTACAATTAATGAATTAAATAACAAAAAGCCAAATTCACATGGGACCATTTTATTTCAAAAAATTAATAATTTAATCAAATTATTAATAAATATTGATTCAGATTTACTCCATGAAACAAAAAATAAATGACCAAGAAAAGAATCACTAAAAATATCAGAACGAAAGTAGGCCTGAATAGCAATTAAATTACTACAATTAAATAAATTTAAAAAGCCAATTTCACATGGCACACCAGATTAATAATAAGAGCGACTCCGGCGTCTTTAAATTCGGCGATTTGGGCCCATAAATGACGACCCAATTACTCCAATGTGGGTTGTCATTGTGGGTCATGTTTATTGGATTGGGGAATGGGTCGTCAAGAAGGCGACCCATATGGCGATCACGGCCTGCCATGCGCGGATCCGTTTTTTTTTAATTTTATTTGTGGCCCAAAATGCCAAAAAGCCATGCAAAGGCCTGTTTGGCTGAAAATAAATTCCAGAAACCGATTTTTGGGGTTTTTACATACTGTGTTGTTCTTTTCTTTTTTTCTCTTTAATACTGTATGTAACATTCCACTTCGCATGAATAGCAGCGCTGCAGCAGCCTTATTCCATTCTATTCCATGTAATATTTTATTTTGGATCAGTGACATCAATTTATGTCCTCCATATAAGCCTGAACCTTTTTTAGAGTCGAAGACACAAGTGTACTAAATTAAAGGCCCAAGAAAATTTACGGAACTCAAAATTTATAGGCCTATGGATGATGGGCCGCCAGGAAAAAACAGATTTTTAGGGCAAATCATTTCAGCCTCCCCAATCGCCTCCATCCCTATTATCTCCCCCCCCCTCCCCCCCTCTGCAACTGCAAACTACAAAATCTACAAGAATCAGAAGGTTTTCAGTTTATCTATCTTCCTGCAAGAATCAAAATTTCAAGGCCTATTACCTATATCAAAACCGATATCGGCATATCATTTTCAGATTGTTCAAAAAATCAGAACCCATATCTTTCAGTTTCCATCGCCCGCTGTTCCAGTTCGGATTCGCAAATTCGCAAGCTTCAGCCGCTGTCCCGCTGTCTCTCAACTCTCAAGCTTGCCCCCTCTCTCTCTGCAACTGCTAACTTGTATGTATTTTGTTTTAATTTTTTTTTCTTTCTAAATCAACTAATCAAGCTCTGTAATTCTTGTTTTGCATACTAAATCCTATTTGGTGATTTTTTTTATGATCTTTTATATATCAATTTTTTTTTTTGAACAATATAAAGTAACAAAATTTGCATTGCATTTTGAGGTAATCACCGTAATCTACATTTTATTTTAGCAAAACAAATATATATATTTTTTATTTCTATAACTTCTATTTCTGTTTTTTTTTTTCATTTCAATTATGTCTACAAGAACATTTGAATCTGGGCATGAAAAAAGAAAAAAAAAAGAAAAGAATTTGAATTGGATTAGAAATCTGCAGAGATTGAATCTGAAACAATTTTTATCAACGTGCCAAGATTTTTGAAGATGGAAATCTTTTCAGAACTAAAAAAAAAAAAATCATAGCAAGAACTTTGACAAGCAAAAGTACTTAATATAGGGTAAATCTCTAAATTTACTTCTTTGAAAATTAAAATACTTACAAAAAGCATGCTTTTGAGTGAATTTCATAGTGTTGGAAGGGGCTTGCCATGAACTACCTCACACTCTGCTTCCACTAGTAGATTCTCAAATAGGATTAGTAAATTGGTTTAAAGAAGAGATAGGGTACTGAGTGGTGAATTGTTCAGAAATAAATTGGTAATTTGTTTTATTAATTACCCAAATAGGATTTTCTATGCCTTAATCAGTCAATTGTCTAAACAAACATAGTTAGTTAGCTAAAATTGAATGTTGATTTTGGTTGATATATTTTGATTTAGCCCACCCCATTGAAAAAATCTGGACCCGCCCTACTAATAATGCACGGAGGATATATTCAATCTTTCTGCCATATTTTTATTTTCAAATTTTGGTTTTTGATTTTCTTTTGTTATTAGAATGCAGAATATCAGGATATTGATTTGTTAATTTTGAAGATTATTCCTAAATTGATGCATTGTACTTTGTTATTGGATTAATTTAACATAAGAGTTGAGTATAATATGTGCTAATCACACCTATCCGTAATTACACCTCTTTCTACGGATAGGTGTCCAACATTTTGACTGAAAGCATAGTTGGGTTGGGTTGATACATGATACAGATAGTACTTAGATGGTGGTGTTTTAATTGTTATGAGTGAGATTGTGAAACCTCTTCCTCACAACTTTGAGTGTTTTCTTATTTTTAGGGTTAGCATCGGGCCATAACATTTAGCAAGAACAAGGTTAAGAAATATGCCTCCTCGGTCATCAGGTAACAAACTCTTACTTTTTTAAAATTTTAATTGGCATTTTTAGCTATTGGTTACATTTATTTATTCATGTTTTACATACTGATTTTTTGTTTCTATGTACATATATATAATATTGTTATGATGTGATGCAGCTGCTCGAACAATTTATTAATGGGAATTAAAGAATTGGAAGTTTAGTTTTCAATTTCAGAATATATGTTTTACAAGTTTTTTAACGCTTTTAAAACTTTTCCTCTTTCTGTCATAATAATATAGGTCTCTTTTCTGAAAGAAGAGAGTTGATTGGAATGGGTGGAGTAGGGAAAAAGAAAAGGTATGTTTTTTTTTGCCTAGCTAATTGAATTATAAAAATCCCTTTGCCGTTTTAGCAGTGATGTTGGATTTAAAATGACCAATTATGATAGGAAGTCTCTTTTCAGTTTTTCTTAATCAAATGTATATTTGTGCAAGAGGATTACGTGATTCTAGATGACGATTCTAAATGAGGATGTTAATATCAACGTTATGAGGATGTTGATGTCAACGTTGACTTTAGTGATGACGACTGATGATGTTGATAATATGTTGATGCACTCAAATTAAGTCAAAGCACTTAGAATTGAAGACATACTATTGAGCATAGTGTCTAATTCTTTTAGTTACAAGAATCTTTGGTCACTTCACACACTATTTTTCAGTTCCTGAAATTCCGAAACAATGGTGTGTAATTTGGTTTATCTACTTGGGCTATCTCTTTTTTTCATTTCTCTAAACCCTAATTTTATTTGTGAAAAAGAAAAAGAAGACTATGCAATTTTAATTTAACTTTATCAGCTTAAGCATTGACAGAGCTTCTGAAATGTTGAAACTGAAACAACAAAGAAGAGAGAGTCCACCAATAAGAATTACCCAACTTAGGACAAAATAAGCTCTCTGAGCGTCTTGACTAATATTGGCACGGGAGACTTCTATAGTTATGGACTTGTAGAGAGAAAGATATATGGTTGGGGGCACAAAAGTTTACGACAACTGTGAACCAACGATAGGGTTGTGAGCTTTGCTTGTATCATGCATCGGATCTAGGAAGTGTACAACAACGAAATGGAAAGCTCTGATGCACTCAAAGTTACTGACAGATACAATAATTAATATTATATATTTATAACTTACCTTACTAATCTAATATGATACTACGTATATCATACACACACACACATATATATATATATATATATATTTGTGTGTGTGTGTGTAACTTTATACTTAGACTTGGGTATATTTTGATTTAGCCCACCTCCTGGATCCGCCCTTGCTTATCATCATAAAGTTTAAATAGAAACAAACTAACAAGCTTATAAAATATTATTTCATTATTATCCTTCAAATGCTCATTTTCCTTTCTGGCTAATAATTTTGGTGAAAGATATTCTTATTTTAACCTTACTTTATTCAATCTTTCGTAATGAATCGGCAAAATGCGCATTATATTGACAACAGATCATTATTAACAAATAATTTGGAAGTCTTTTTTCTGAATATGAAAGTCAACTTGGTTTGCTTGTTTCTGTTTTTCTAAATTTTTTTTTTTTTTTTTTTTTTTTTGCAAAATTGAAAAGCAAAAAATTGTAGATAGATTCTAAGAATTGTATTATGAAAATTAAAGTTAAAAAATTGAATGTTTTTGGAGAATCATCTTTTATAGTTTTTGAAAACAGTTTTTTTATTTTAAAATTTTTTAAAAACTATTTTCTGAGTGACAAAACAAGCTAGCTCTTAATTTTCACAATATCACATAATTTTGGGACTTGAAATGGAAGTGTCAAACACAATCTCATGGTTAAGCAAAGATTGGCTAAAGAAAAATAAAAATAAATAATTTGAGCACCCAAATCAATAACCATCCACATCCATCTATAAGAATTAATTTTTTTTTGCTATGCACAAAATGTGCAAATACTTAATATATTTATAATCGTGTCTTTGGACAATTGGATTCTACAAAAAGATGGAGGAGAAAAAATTTTACTGGTAGGAAACAAGATTTGAAGACTTCGCAAGTGGGGGAATCGAAATCTTTGTGCTGTCTGTCATGGCAATATATATTGTGTGTGTATGTGCGTAATTTTTAAGTTTGAGTCATTTATACCGTGAGCAATCTCAAGATTAAGAAACACTTTTTATAAATCAATGGGCTACACCATATTTAACAATCACTTTTTTCTTTTCCTTTCATTTTCTTTAATTTTTTTTTTTTGGTTAGGTATAGCTGTGAAAAAGGTGTTGGTTTACCGATACAGTGTGAATCACTTTTATAATTATATATTTTACACAAAAAGGCTTTTCATTTACTTGTAAAAAGATCCAAATCTTAGCTTTGATTAAATGTATAAATTTACAGTGGCACCCAAGAACAAAAGCCTAACATATGGTATTAGTTAGCTGGCCGCACATTTAGGCCCAAAAAATAACCGAAGCCCAAAACTTATGGTGAGTTGAATCTCTGTGGATCCATTATTTCAGTATGGTTGGGATTCAGTTAGATCATACAATTCACACAATTGACTCACACACATCGCATGAATCACTGATCAATTTTTTTATGCCATCTACACACACACACACACACAACACACTGATGTGCTTTGTGATTATATATATGTTTTTGTTTGTTTTGTTAATTTGTTTATCCGACAATCTTCTATCTGCACCCCATCATCACCTCCTTTCCATATTAAACAAGTTCAAATTCAAATAGCTCCACTATTTACTAATGTCTTTTTATATATGTATTGCAGTTAATACAATTGGCATATTAACTGCAATAGATATATAATAAGACACTTGTAAATAGTTCTAAAATCATTATTACTTTTATTCTGAATCTTTTGCCTAAACTCAGCAGAAATGTATGTTGCTAAAATCTCCATTAATTGTTGATTGATATCCTCAGTGGAAGTTTAATTCAAAGTGTGACAGTACCATAAAAAAAAAGGTCTAGTTATGTGTGACTGAGATATGCAAGTATTGCAATAAGGCCATTTGGCCCATAACAAAAAAAATAACAATAGCATGGCCCAAAGACACGCTAGACACCAAAAAAGAATCAGCCCAATAAAATAAATGAGGCCCAATTGCATTTCTAAAGCTATATAAGCCATTATAATTTATGAGTCTATGACTGAACGACTCTCTCTCTCTATTCTGTATCCATCTTTCACAAAAGGCAGTCTAGTTCCATTTTAATAAATTAATTTTATTTGTTCCTTTAAATTATATTGATGTTTACCACGGTGGGAAAATGATAAAACATATCAACAATATATATGCTTTAAAGGCCGTTTGACATGTAATATGTTTTAGGCGTTATGTTTTTGGTTAATACCAAAATAACCGTTTTGTTGTAGGAGTGTTTTGAGTAGGAATCGGAACCATTTTTGATAATGAAAAATTATTTTGGGAAATTAATAAATTTGCTTTAATTCCTTCGCTATAGTACCAACACACACAATATTATCAATTTTGTGATATGGGTTTGAGTTAATAAATCTGATATGTTACGAACTATTCCAAACCCAATATTAGTTGTTCCAAACATGATACGTACCCAAATTTAGAGACTAGTATTAGAAAAATAATATCATAACACATTTCAAACGGGTCCTAAGGAAGATGTGTTTGGTTAACGAGGAATGGGTTGGAAAGAGAGGAGTTTTAAGGATATTCAATTGGTTTAATGTTTCAGAATTGGTTTTAACTTTTGAGGGATGAATTGGAAATAGATGAGTTTTGAGGACAAAAATTGAATTGGTTTGTTGAAGAGTGAGATGAAAGAAAAGAATAGAGAGAAAAAGAGGGGTCTTTTTTCGCGAAGATTCAAAAGGGAAGAGACTGCTGTAGTACTGTATATATTTATATTAGTCAGTCCGTAAAACATGTCGTCAATTTTATCATCTTTATTTTATAGTAATTGATACATCAATTTAATAATTATAACTCAACACTTTTACAAGATTTGCTTTTATTTTCTTTCAAAATTAATATAAAATAATAATTTAAATAAAATGAAAATAAACAATTTAGACAAGAGAGAACAAGTATACCAAGAACCTTTTTAATGGTTGTAAGCAACTTAAACTCATTGGAAGCTCCAGAATCCTAAAAGTTATTGTTTAGGTACATTTTCCAGATTCTAGATGATTGAAACTTCACTAGGCCCAAAAAAAATAACCGAAGCCCAAAAATTATGGTCGGGATTCAGTTAGATCATACAATTCACACAATTGGCTCACACACATCACATGAACCACTTATCAAAATTTTTATGCCACCTATATATATATATATTTCCTATTTTTGTTTGTTTCTTGAAATGTAGGCCAGATGGAAACTAAATTTTTTTTTTGTCTTGTATTTTTGTAGTTGGGTTACTATCTATCCCATATGTACAGTCATCTAGAGGTTGGGGGAGTTTGACATTTCTTTTAGCCATTGCCGTTGCGACGTTTTATACGGTATTGTTAATTAAAAGATGCATGGACGTGGATCTGAACCTCACAACCTATTATAACATAGGTGAACGTGCATTTGGAATAAGATGTCGATGACTCATATTAGGCTCCCAAAGTGACAAGTAAGATTAGATGACTACACATGGGAGGAAGACAAAGTTTCGTAGTGATAGTTGGCCTTGTGGTAATGCCTACTGTCTGGTTCAACGACCTTATCTCTGCCACTGGAGTGCTGACATCTGCTATAATCCTTGGCTCGACTTTGTGGACTAGTGCATTTGGTGGGATTGGGTTTAATGAGAAGGGGACGACTCTACATTTGAAGGAAATCCCTACCGTTACCGGCTTATATGCTTTTTGCTACAGCGCACATCCTGTTTTCCCAACCCTCTACACTTATATGGCAGACAAGCTTCAATTTACAAAGGTATGTACCAATGTCATCGAACTAATTAAGGTTCTTTTTTCACAAGTGATTGGCGGTCTAATGTTATGCTTTCTCCTTGTAGGTTATGATGCTGTGTTTTCTCTTTTGTATCTTAGCGAATGTGTCCATGGCAGTCATCGGGTATCTAATGTTTGGCTCAAAGGTGGAGTCACAGGTAAGCAGACACGGACCTGTGTAGCCCCACTAAATTTTTTTTGTTTAGTATTATGCCTCTATTGATTCTTTATTTTTGAATTATATACCTATAGAATTTCACTTTTGCCCCCGCTGAAATTACTAAAAAAATTCACTAGTGCCCTGCCCTCACATAATTTTTTTGTAGACGAGCTTAAGTTTTCCTACTAAAAAGATTAGTTCAAAAGTGACCATCTACACTACCTGGATCAATCCGGTCCGCCAATAGTGCACCTGATTGAAGGTCTATTTCACCATTCTAACAATAGGAGACTACTTAGCTTATTTTTCAAGACCTGCTTGGTGATTAGCACGATTGTTGTGGCTGTGACGGTTCCCCTTTTTGGATCTCTCATGTCACTTGTTGGAGCTTTTATGGGTTTCACATTTATTTTACTGCCTTGCATTAGTTATAAGAGGGTTGGATTGGAATTGGTGGTTATAGGTGCCATCATCTTAATGGGTATCTTCACAGCAATTGTTGGTACTTGGACATCTTTTAAGGAAATAATAGGATACTTTTGACTTGTCAGGTTCAGATTTTTGAGAATTATAGTTACTGAAGGCTTATTTCTCTTAGTACCTAAGTGGAGAATTTATACGTATTGCTATCTTTCGATTTGGATTTTAGAACCAAGTGCAATGATATGTGTTTATGTTAGTTTTATTGTTCATGCTGTGTGTGTATTGAACTAATGTTCTTATGTTTTCATCTAAATGTCAGAAATGTATGTTGCTAAAATCTCCATTAATTGGAGATAGATATCCCCAGTGGAAGTTTTATTCTAAGTGTGGCAGTACCATAAAAAAAAGGTCTTAGTTATGTGTGACTGAGATATACAAGTACTGCGATAAGGCCACTGATAAAATATATCAACAATATATATGTTTTAAGGCCCGTTTGATATATTTAGGTGTTATGTTTTTGGTTAATACCAAAATAATTGTTTTGTTGTAGAAGTGTTTTGAGTAGAAATTGGAACCATATTTGATAATGAAAATTTATTTTGGAAAATTAAAAAAGTTGCTTTAGTTCTTTCGCTATAGTACCAAAACACACAATATTATCAATTCGGTGATATGGGTTTGAGTTAAAAAAAAATCTGATATGTTACGAACTATTCCAAATCAATATAAGTTGTTCCAAAATGATATATGCCCAAATTTAGAGACCAATATTAGAAACAGAGGAGTTTTAAAGATATTCAAGTGGTTTATTGTTTCAGAATTGGTTTTAACTTTTGAGGGATGAATTGGAAATAGATGAGTTTTGAGGACAAAAATTGAATTGGTTTGTTGAAGACTGAGATGAAAGAAAAGCAGAGAGAGAAAATCACAACATAAAATAAAACATGACACTCAAAAATATAATACGATGGTTGAGTAACAGTTGCAGCTGCTGCACTCGTGATCATACTTGATCAAACAAATAAAATGACACACTCTTAGTTTTAGTACACCATTTTTATGGAAAAAAAATATTAAAACTTAACAAAAATAATTTACCTATCAATTTTTCTCTATGATGAAGAACCTTAAACTTATTTGTGGGAACAAAGGAGATATTTAGAAGCTAACAATTAACTGGTTGAGAGGGTGTATATATCTGATATCATAATATCACATAGGCTAGGCTATCTATAACACTCTTTCGAATTTTGAAAAATCAAAAACCAATAGATAGAAGTGCTCCCTTGATAATATCTTTAACCAAAAAGCTTAAATCCAATCTCAAGCTTAAATCATTACCTTTAGCCTAGGAATAAAAATTCATTGGGCTCATTTTATTCATGGTTTCAGTGGAATAATAATTAACCCTATCAATTTTTATTGATCCAATTCAATTAGCCCATAAATTATTATCAATTCCACTAAATAAGAATAGTTGAATTCCAATTTAAAAATGACTAATCACTAAGTCAATTTATGTAATGACCTTTCTATGTTTAATTAGCTATCGAATAAATAAATTTCATCAATCCGACCACTTAGTTAATCCATTTTTTTTGATTCCTTGATTATTTTCTATTTGATCACGTAAATCAATTAATTTGTTTTATAAATAAATATTTATAAAACAAATTTTATATAATAAAAAAAAATGGAGGCCCCCAAATTTTTTCTTGATCAAACTAGTTAAGTTAAAATAAATAATATACCACCGATGCAACTACTAAGAGTATATTTCCAAACTATTAATTAATATTACCCAAAGTATGGATATTAGATCCTATGACTCACCGAATAAATCAATGTACTCCGTCCATCCCACAAAAAATGTCTCTTTTTGGGAACCTAACTTTTTAAGAGCATAGTTTTTAATATTTTTTAATTATAATAGTAGGAAATGAATTTTCAAATATACCCTTCTATGGCGGGTCCACATGAGGTCTTATTTTAAACTTTAATTGCTTTTACAACTCCTAGGCAAGAATGATAAATTAGGAATATTAAAGAAATAGTACATTAAATTTTGAATTGGGACAATTATTTTGGGATAGCCAAAAATGGAAAGGTGGACATTTGTCATGACGATAACAAGGAGCAATTGCTACAATGTCTCTCACAACTCGACTTATCTTTGATCCGGCTTATTTCTTTATTGATAAAGAATGTATCATTTATCACTAACAATGAACCATTTATGATAACGCAATACCCATAATTTGTATATTTAGTACATGAACCCCTTTATGTAAATACAAATTACATACGTTGCTAAATGGATAACTTCAGTTTGATTCTCGAATCGACTAATACATAGAATTCACCAATTATATACATAACATATTTAATTAAATCATGGATAATTAATATATATATAAGGGACACGTGTTAATTACAATCCATGAATTTTGTTATGACAGGGTGTTTGCACAAAAAAATAACACCTACCTCATACCAAGACTTGTTGAGCACAATGTTGTGATCGAGAGAGAAAGAAAACTCAAGATCGAGCATGCACGACAACTTCGGAAGATCGGAGTGAATTTGTTCTCCTAGATTTCACCCAGAGACCAGGGCCGACTGTATGTTTGATCAAGTGTTTTGCACTTTCAATGTCATAAGTTATTTGTTATAACCTTAAGGGTATTACAGTCATTACCTCACCATGCCATGTTGGTGAGATTATACAGCATTATCAATTCAGAGATATAATGTGCTGTCCAGGTTAATGAAGCTCATGGTTCAACACAAGCACACTTGGTTCCTATTCTAAGTAGTCACAGGGGCATTATTGTCTTTCTACATGTGTATACAACATGGTTACACATTCCTGGAGTGTTACATCACTGTGTTGTGATTATATTTAAGTGTGAACCAATGTTATACAAGCTGCAGCAGAGGAGTATTAGTGTATTCAATGCAAGGGCATTATTGTCCATTTATTGTTGTGAGCACTGTGCTGCCACGTGGCTCTTTGGTCCTGCAGAGAGAAAGCTATATACTCACTCCATTGGCTGTAGTGACAATCTTATCTATAGTAGGGTTGCAATGAGGACCCTATAAATATGCTGTTATAGAATTCAGCAAAAGGTGCCTCTTTGAGTGAAAAAAAAGCTGAATGTAGCTGCTGTGTGAGGTCCTTTCGAGGTCTAAAATTAAGAACATATTTCAGTGGGTTTGAAAGATAATTTGAGCTTGAATGAAGCACTGAAATTTGCCAAAAGAAAGCACAGTTACAGTAAAGATCAAGGAGTTGCTGAGGTGCTGATTTTCTGGTGCAAAGAGAGGCTGAGGTGGTTCAAAATGGCTGTGGTCATTTCTAGAGCTTGAACAAGGGCTGAGCAAATGTATTTTGGTGGTTTACAACTATTGAAGGTGACTAAAACCATATATTGAGGCTAGTATTGAATTTCACATCTCAAACCTCCAATTTAGCTTATTTTTCTGGTTTACACTTCTGAACCGAGCTTACCATGTTATACTCTTGCTATACTTTGATTGTACATCAACTGAGCATGATTGTGTTGATGTTAAGAATTTGTTGAAGTTGAGTCTTTACCAGAAATTTGACTTGTTCTTGTTTTCACTTTATAAACCTCACAATTTAGGGTTTTAAGTATTAAAAGGCCTGTTGTGTGTACTGTGAGTGCAATATCTGTTTGTATTTGCTGTTCTCTACATCCGAGCATATATATATTGATAATATATGAATGTAAGAACCACAAACTGGTCTGTGTTGCTGGGAATTTACTCATTTGCCCCTGACAACAGTGCTGCAACAGAAACTTTTTTGTGAAGCCTTCATTGAACTGCAAATTATTATTTGCTTGATATAAACTGAGGAGTAAGGTCTGAAGCATGGTTTATATGTTGAAAGAATATTGTGAGGACTATACTCAAGAACATTCAGTCAAGGATTAACAAAATTACCCTTGAAAACTGAAAGTTACAGGTGCAGCTAAATACACTTGCTGTGAGCTGTTTTTTTGCTGCTGTGTGAGCTGCTGTGGTAATCCTCTGTTGATATATTATGTCCTAGCTTTAAAATAAGTGTAATACATCCTTTTTAAGCCGTGGAAGCCTTTGGGGTGTTAAGGGTTTGAAGCCTCTTAAGGCAGTGTTTGACAAAATTGAGAATTGGGGTTTTTATCCTTTGTGTAGCTGCTGTGAGTCTATATCTATGTTATACCTTGCTGTTTAATTTGTTCTAAACATTCAAGCAAGTGTATAGTGTCTATTCAAGACTGGAGGAGTAAAGTTTGAGCTGGTTCTGAAGCTTGTTTACAGTTTTACCCTTTGAAGCCTAAAAGCTAGGGTTTAGTGAGGTTAAGCCTACCTTGATCATCAGGTGAAGCTACATTGAGTTTTGACAGTTATATCCACCTTGTTGCAGAGAAGTGAAGCTAAGGTTTCTTATATTTGATACTTAGAGCTGAGTATTCATTCTTATTTTGTGTTGCAGCTTAAGTATATTGTACTTGGTGTGTCGACACCTCTATTTATTGTTGATTAAGCTATTGAGAGCTTTAAGTGTCCAAGCAAAGGGGCTGTGGACTGGGGAGTGCCTATGTGCGCATTGTTTGATCTTGTGTGTGTGTAGAGGCTGTGAAAGTCAGTGTCCTAGTTAGTACAAGGTGATTGGAAAGTGGGGTAGCTGAGTGAGTAACTACTTGCATGCAGCAAGTGAAGATGGTGAGCTAGTGTGTATGGATTGGTTGTGAAAGCTAGTATCTATTCTTGTACAAGGGTGTGTGCAGTGAGTGAGATAGTTGAGTGTGTAACAAGGTTCATACTACTAGTGGAGGCTTTTATTGGCTGAGGCCAAGAACCAAGGTTTTTCCCTATTTATAGGATTTCTATACCTTGTGTCCATGTGCTTTGATTGTTTGCATTAGTTTATATCTCTTATGTTAACATGTTCGTAATCAAGTGAAAAAGGAAGAAAGTACCTAAGACCAATTCAACCCCCCTTTCTTGGTCCAACAATTGGTATCAGAGCCTTGGTCTGCACAACCAAGGAATTAACAAGCCTGCAGTAAAGATTCTTGGAACATAATGGAAGGTTTGTGCATTGACAATGCTTCATGTTTTGATAGTACAAACTTTGAAGACTGGAAAGTTAGAATGGAGGTTTACCTTATGTCTCAGTCATATGATGTGTGGTATGCTGCCACCAAGGGATTATCTGTGCTTAGGGCAAAACAGTCTATACTCAGTGGTCTAAACCATTAGGATCTTATGAAGGCCAGGGGCTGTAAATCATCCAAGGAAGTGTGGGACTTACTTGGGACAAAATATACTTTTCAAGAAAATTATGAAGCATCAGAGAAAACCAAGGATATGACCACTCAGTCTACAAAAGCTCTTATTCAAGAAGAAAAAACTGAAAAAGATATTTGTGTTAAAGACTTCAAGTCTAAGCTCTCAGTCTTAATCTCTTTTTCACTTGTTTGTAACATAGGGAAGCTCAGATCAAAGGAAGCATTGTGGAAGAACAACATTGTTAAAGAGAGAGCTACAACCCTTTTGACAGACAGAAGCAAGGCTGAACAAGGTTCTATTGTTGAGGATGGTTACATTGCAAAGGATCTCCACATCCTTGGGCTCAAAAATAAATGTCAAGTTGATATTGAGGTCTATTATAAACCTAGAAGATGGAAGTTTGAAAGGAGCTATCTACAAAAGTTTAACAATGAGAAGAAGGGTTTAATGCTGCAAAGTTTTAGGAAGAAGGAAGATTATCCTCTATCTGTCTGGATCATAAGCACCAAAGGGATGCTCTTTACTCTTGATAAACAAGCACACAACCTGTCAAGCTCCTTCTCATTTGCATCTCACTATCTAAGTGATTTCAAATCTAAAAATTCATTGAGAAGTCTTGGAAATTGCATGAAAATTCATCTGTGGTGTTTAAACTCTTATACATCTGAAGAAAGGCTAATGACTCCTCAAGATAAGTGGAAGGAAGTTCCTTATTTGACACATAAACAGTTAAAATCATAAAGAATAGATCAATCAAACCATAGTATTTGAAATCGGGTTACATCAATGCCCTTAGAGGAGATTTAGCTACTCATGACGACGCAAGATATCATCTGTGTTGTTGTGGACTTCATCATCTGAGGATCTTCAGTTTCAATGCTTTAGAAGAAAACTAGAAACCCTAAAAGCCACCACTAGATCTAGAAATATTTGCAAGAAGAAGAGAGAGCTTTTCTGTGGGCTTGTGCATCCCTTTATAGAAGCTAATGATTTCTAATAAGGATTAGATGGGCTTTAAGTCTTCTGGGGTCATCTGGGCCCGTTTGGGATGAATTAGAATTAATCCCGCAACTTTGAAATCTGACTTAACAGGAAAGGCTCGAGCAAAGAAGCTTCTGCTTGAGCTTTTTGGTTGGTGCGCGAGCCTTTTGGCTTGTGCTCGAGTAGGAATTTTATACTTTAGCCATTTTTCTTCAAATAATTTCCTAAGCGCCTTTTTCATCAACACTTAGAATATTTTGGGATATTTTCTTTATGGTGCTTGAGCAATAGGACTTCTGCTCTAGCTTTTTGAACTATGCTCGAAGATTTTGGTCTTTACTCGAGCTTTGGCAATATGAATCGGGATATATTCTTCATGGTGCTCGATCACCTTGCTTGGGTGCTCTAGCACTAGGAATTTTACTCGAGCTTTTTGAACTATGCTTGAGCCTTTTGGTCTCTGCTCGTGCTTTGACAACATGAATCTTCCGACGCGTCTTTTCATATTCCGAGGGAGTTTGTGCTTGAGCCCTTTTGCAAAGGATCGAGTAACTTGAATCTCTGCTCGAGCCTTTTGGCCTTGGTTGCTTTTCTTGTTTCAGTTGACTTTATGCTCGAGTTAGGAACTTTGTGCTCAAGCTTTTGTACTTGAACTTCTTCAAAATCACCATTTTGACTCCAAGCTTGCTTTAGATGATCGGGAACAACTCTGTAAACTCCAATATTAGTCTTTTTATCTTAAAATTCTAGTTTTATCCATTTCTTTGGGAAAGTACCTACAAAAGCAAAGTAAACTAAAATCAGTCTAAAACTGGATAAAATTACTTCTTAAGGTCTTAACATATGCACATTTAGGGGCTCAAATATGTAATATTCAGCACTCATCAGCTCTCTGGACATGAGTGCTTACCTTTGATTAGCACAAATCGTCGAACACCCTATGTGCAGTTGATTCTTTATGCCATGATGGAGCAACTTCAACGTGTTCCACCTCTTCTTCCATTTCGGGTATCCTGTGTTGAGGGTCCATGTGAACGGATCATACTCTCTCTGCCCGTCGGTTGACGTTCGTTAGCTCCACTCCCTCATCAGCGACCGGTGGGTGAGGGAGCCGTGGAACTTCCCTTCGTTCCATCCTAAATCTCAACTCTGCGTTCTCCTTTCGTAAAGTCTCCACGATCTACATCAATTCATCATGTCTTACCCGTTGATCTTCTTCTTGCTAGCGGGAGCCCTCCTCTCCGATCATGGTCCTTGATCGGAGTTATGTCATTCGTCGTTGAAATCAATGAATCCTTCCGTCGTTTCCCACAGACAACGCCAGATGAAAATGCAAGAAAATGCAATTCTATATTAGGAAAAGATTTTCTAACACTCTAAATCATCTCCCCTCTTTCCTTCTTTCACTTCTATTTATAGAAGTTTACATTTTACCCTAATTTCTTACATTTTGTCCCTAGGTTGAAGGTTGATGGGCCTTTTTCCTTTGTGGGGTGGTCCGCCCATACAAATTGGCTCAAACGGAGGCTAGCTCTTGCTATTTTTGGTTATGTATGAATTGGGCCTGAATTATGGACCTTTTAGATGACGAGCAGCCCAGTCGGTTGGGTCTTATGGGCTACACTTGGCCCGACTTAGGTCCGTTCGCATTTCCCAACCCTTTAACGTGCCAATCTCAGAGTCGTTAGTAGGGGTGCACACAAATCTGGTCAAACCGAAAGTCCAAACCGGACCAGTCCGGACCGGACAATTTGGTTCGATTTGTTAACGGTTTGGTTCTATCACGGTTCTAAATTTGTGAAACCGTAAAGATACGATTTGAGGTCCTTTAAGGCCAAACCGTTTAGTTATATATATATATATATATATATATGTGTGTGTGTGTGTGTGTGTGTGTGTGTGTGTGTTAAATTATATATATAATATAATATAATGATACAATCCAAATCAGTTAGAAATTTGTAGCAACTATCAATTATACATTCCACTCTTAATTCTTTTAGGTCTTATCAATTTATTATATGATTCTTATATTTTATTAATTTTTTTGTTGATTTTCTTAATTTTAGCTTAATTAATGTTTGTTGTTGAATTAGTAATTCTAATGTATTAGGTTATTAGTAATTTTGAATGTATTCACTTCAGTTCTAGAAGTGACAGAGAAGAATGAATTAAAAGTTTTGAATATATTACCAATTTTGAATATTTTGGTTAACTTGGTTTATTGTTGTGTATTTGCGAATTTGAAAAATGAATACTTCTGTAGGAGGGAAAAAAAAAAAAAAGTAACTGTGAAATTGAACCGAACCAAACCGGTTTCTCACAGTTTTGTTTGGTTTGGTTCTTTTCGTCAAATAGTTTGGTTTGGTTCTAGATTTTCTGAAACCGTTAGAATCGGTTCGGATCCAAAATACTCTCAAACCAGTGCCGCTGTGATTGCGGGAGGGTGTAAAGATATAAATCAACCACCTTGATTCTAGGTTGATTTGAACTCCTTGATTGTAGGGATCATTGTAACTATTTCCTATTGTATATTTGACTGTAGGGCTTATCTATTGCATAGCTCGATTATAGGGATTGTATACTTGTAATATTTTGTAAATCTCCTCTATAAATACAAATGAAGGCAGCCCCATTGGGTACTGCAATCATATAAAACTACAAGATTGCTAGAAAACTCTTTGAAATAAATTGTATGAAAAAAAAAAAAAAATTATAAGCCCATTTAGAATATATATATATATATATAATGATGCTTGTGCACTTGGTATATATATCTCAGTGTATGTTAGATTTTTTTTTTTTTGAAAAATAGTATATTTATAGAGAAAATAGAAACCTAAAAGAATTTGGTTTTTAAGTGTTTTAATATAAAAGGGAACTTCACTTTCACAGTGGTTGATGAATGGAGCTGATCCTTGGATGGATCGAAGTCCCCTCACTTGTATACTTAGAAAATTTTCAAACATATGCATATCAAAAATGATATTTGAGAATCAAGCATGACATCTATGAAACTGTAATTGACAAATGCATGAACCTTAATTGTTGAGTGCATACATGAGTACCATTTTTCAGTATTGGGCATGAAACTGTGCTTGCACGTGTGATACTTTCATTAACATTTCTCATTCTACTGCACTCTGTTTCTTTTCTCTTCATGTATTACCAGTCTAAAGCCCAAACTATAGAGACAATGTTTAGTAGTGTACGCAATGATTTGTACATTAGTCTTCAAATGAAGTACCCATCTCTTGTGATTAACAAATTAAATTAACTGAGAAATCATAACTAAGTATTAGAAATATTAAAATTGTTCAGCAATTAATTAGTCACAATGTATTAAACATATAGAAAAACTGATATCACTCAAGAAGAACAAATGAAGAAAAAAAAAAAAAACTTCAACCATAGGTAAAACAATCTTCAACACCACGAACTAACAATTCACACTTGAGCAGAAAAGGAATATGGAAGAAAATAAAGCTAACACATTGTAACAAAAATAATAAATCATATGAAGCGTTCAATTTCGGTATCCCTAAATACCATTTTGGTGCCCCTTCAATTTGTTAATTAAGTTGGCATTAGCAAGAGGGAACCCAGAGGATTGGATCCACCACCGTTTATCTTCAGTCACTTGGATGGGTTTGTGAGCTCACTTCCACTTCCAATTGACAGAGGCTGACTGGTCTGGACTCTGGACCAAAAATGAACAATATAAAAAATAAATCAAATTCACTAAACAAATATATCTCCGCAAGTAACTCAAAATCATTACATAACTACAGAGCATACAATTAATGGAGCAAAGCATAAAAATTTGAACTTTAACTGATAACTAAATTAACTAACTTTAACTAAATTTTGAATTTTAACTAAATTTTCAACAATCCAAGAGTTAAAGTAAAGCATAAACTATCAAGTCACTTAATCCATCATGCAATTAAATTGGCGAGCAACCAAACATGCCATATAAAAGTAGTGAAATAAGAAACACAATAGATAGCGAGATTTATACGTGAAAAATCTAAGAGAAAAAACATTGGACGTAACATAGAGAGATCAAATCCACTAAATGAAAAAAAAAAAAAAAAACACAAAGAAGTTGTAACTAGATTATCAGTTCCCAAACCCTAGCCAAACTCTCCACTCAAGTCGATCTTTAGGTCCTCAGTTAGCTCCGTCAACAGATCTGCTTCTCACAAGATCTGCTTCACCTAAACACTTCGATCTCTGGTCCACTTGTCCAGTTCAATCTCTATTGATTAATTGGCTGAACTTCCAACAAGCACAACAACAATAGTTAATCAATACATATATGTCCACTCACCAATCTAGTATGAATGATGTATGAATAAAACAAAAGTTCCAGGGAAGTATTGCTAGAAAACTCTTAGAAATAAATTGTATGAATGCTATATGATGCATGCCCACTAAGTATATATCTCTCTATGACTCTATATGTGTTTCACTGTGTATGTTAGGTTTTTTTTGAAGAGTAGGTATTTATAGAGAAAATAAATTTGGATTTTAAGAATTTTAATGGAAAAGAGGAACTGCACTTTCACAGAGCTCCATGAATTGAGCTGATCCTCCGATCGATCGAAGTCCCCTCACTTGTATACTTAGAAAATTTTCAAACATGGATATTTCCAAAAACACAAGATGCATATAAAAAAAGGATGGATTTGAAGAATGAAGCATGAAATCTATGAACCCTAATTGACAAATGCATGAACCTTAATTGGTGAGTGCATACATGAGTGTCAATTTTACTTTTTACACTTGACATTGAAGATTAGCTTTCTGCCTTTGGGTATAGCTTCAGTTTCAGTTCCTTCCTTGGACAAGAGGTAACTAACTTGACACTAAATCTTTAAATTCTAACTAAAATTAAAATTACAAACTCATAATTTAGGCCCCAAATTATACTATTGACCTAACAATAGAAAAATCATTGTGAAAAATCATATGGTAGAAACTAGCAAAATTGTGGCTATCCATATGGTCTTTTTTTCCAAATCATATAAATTTAACACATTGAAATGGTCCCAACCACATGATTTTGGTAGTAAAAAATCACATTTTTGTGGAAGTTAGCTTCATTGCTATGCAATCTAAAATAAAATTTTGATATTAAAAGTAAATTCATCTCTCTCGTTCTCTCACATACGCATACAGAGAGAGAAAAACCATGATGGTGGTGCTAGAAATGTCACCATCACTAGGGGTGGAGCCACTAAGGTCTCAATGGGGCAGCCGCCACCCACTAATTATTAAATTTTCCGTGTACATGACTTTTCAAAATTATAAAACAATCCTAAAAATTATCAAAAATATTAGATGGCCACTCACATTTTCCTTATTTTGATTTTGAACATTCATCTTTTTATAGTAACTCCTTATATTTTCCCCCTCGCAAATAACTTACACGCACTCTTTTCTTCTTCTTCTTCCTCATTTTTATAATATATATATATTTTTTTATTATTATTTTTTTTTGAAAGGTTGCACACTCTTTTTCAAAGGAGATACCATTGTTCTACATTTTGTGGCGGGAGATCACTCGACTCCTTAATTTTTTCTAAAAAGAAAAAGGGATCATACTTGTTAGGATTTCATACACATAATTGGCAAATAGAACAGATAAAAGCACACACACAAGCAAATCAAGATTTAAGCGGTTCGGCAAATTGCTTGTGTCTGTGGGCGAAGAACGACTATCTTTACTTCAACACTTGTTTACACACTTTTCTCTTATCACAAACTCATCTTTTTATCTCTCTGCAATTATCTTTTTCTATCTCTACTTCTCGATCTACCTAAACTCATCTCTATTTATGAAGTCTTCAAAACTCAATTCCTTATTGGATAAGAATTATACCACTTTTCTATAAGGAGTTACCAAATCAATCTTAACTCTAAAATAGAAACCTAATGTGACAATATCTCTCACAAATTTTAATCTTCCAAAACATAAGAGGAAACTAATTTCTGCAATATTGAGCCCCAAACCAAACAATCTCCACCTTGGCTTGAAATTCGTCTTCACATGCTCCTCCATAGCTCCACCTTGACTGAAGATCTCTCCACCTTGAACCTAACATATTATTTCTTCTAGACGTTCTTCGTCGTTCGGCCACACTCATCTATTCCTAGCAAATTCCAAGTTCAAATAATTGAACCTGGAATTTACTTTCGCATCACCAAATCGAACTCTTTTTGCTTCTAAAATAAAGGTTAGTACTCTTGCAATTGCCAAGACTTCTTCTTTCTCTTGTTGCACTTCATCCGCGAATCTAGTAGATCTCAAAACAGGCTTCCATTATATCTTTGCAATTGCTCCACCTAGTATAGTATTTCCCAACAAAATATAAAAACTATTGACCTTCCTTCCTAAAAGCATAACACATGGTCCTCTTCTAATCTTCATCAATCCATTCTTCACTTCACACTAACACCCTTAGAATCTAATGCTCCCACAGAGATCATGCATTCCTTCTAACATTTGGAATATGACGTACATTAGAGTTCTTACCAAACCATTTGTTGTCTTGATTTTGATTGTTCCAATTCCCATAACATTACAAGAAGCATTATTCCTTATAAATACTTTACCACCTACAGGTTTGTAGGTAGCAAAAACAACTCTTTATGAAGACATATATGAAAGGAACAAGCAGAATCAAGTAGCCACTCCTTAGCTTCTCCCTTGTTATCAATGATTGATAATGCATCATCATTATCACTCCATTCTTTTGCATCCTCAGACATAACAACATTAACGGATGTACTCTTTTTTCTTTCCGGACAGTACCACTGAATATGCCATTTTCTTCCACGCTTGTAGCATATTTTCTCTGACAATGGCACAAGGTTTCTTAAAGTTCCAAATCTCTTCTTCTCTTGAGCAATAAGAGCTTGAGCCCGAGTATCATGAATCTCTTCATTATTCAACTTTTCATTAGAGAACAAAGCACTTTTAACTTGTTCCACCGATATAGTATCTCTCCTATAAAGCAAGATATTGAATAAATGTTTATGGGTAGAGCGTACCGGTGTTAACAAAATAATTGATTTATCTTCATCACTTAACTTGACATCAACATCAGATAAATCACGAATAATTTTATTGAACTCACCAATATGTTCTTGATTTCCATTTTCGGGGACTTCCCGAGATTCTTTTAATCACTTAATTGATTAGTTTGATGCAATTATATATATTTATGTGTATATAGTAGTGGATAGATATTTCCAATGGCAAGGTTGTGATTATGTATTCAAAGAGGGTCATTTTGGGGTTTTTGGAGGTCAAAGTGGTACCCACCTTAACCAAACTTGTGGCTAAGGGGCCAATATCATATTTTGGCCCATCTTTTCCATTCTTCCCCACCTGGATCTCTCTCTCTTCTTTGATTCTTCTTCCATTTTTTTTTTTCCTCCATGGAAGCTCACCTTGGAGCTTAGTTTTCATTTCCTTAGCTTAGGATTTTGGTGGTGCTATAGTTAGAGAAATGAGAGATCAAGATGAGGGCTATATGTTAGTGTATATATTGCCGCTATTGGAGACCATAGAGATTTTGGCCAAGACAAGTTAGGGGGTTTTGGGGGTAGCTCCAAGAGGGAATGTTGTTCCCCTTCTCCTCATCTTCATTTTGATGGTTGGTTCAAGCTCTCGAATTGATGGAGTTTCATGTTGGAGCTAAACTAGGGATCAACTTGCTTTGAGGTAGGGGTTGTCTAACTTGTGTAATCCTAGGTTGTGGTAATCAATTTATTGTTTTCCCCTTGAAAGCATGATTATTAAGGTGTAATTTGAGGAAATTGTGTTCTAGGGTTTTCAAGCATGAGTCTTAATTGTTAGATTGTTGTTTAAATTGAAATCTATGCTATATTGTGTGTTTTAAAGCATGATGATTATGTTGCTAAGTGTACTAACTTGGAAGTTGTATTTACCATGTGTATGATTGTGCATTCCTATGTGGGTTAATTGAAGTAAATGCTAAGTGTTAGTGATTTAAACCATGTATAACATGTTTATTAAATGACAACCTACTTACATGAGAATGTCTTTTACATTGGAATCTGAATGCAATGTGCTTTAGTGGACAATATTAACTCCTTGATAAATTATGAGCAAAAGCATGTATATTGTTTTAATTGAAATTGTGTGTTGATGTTGGAATGCAAGGTTGTCAAAAAAAAAAAAAATGTTGTAATGCATATTCATGACATTCTCTTGGCATGTGGTTGGTGCGGGTAGAGTGGTGTGTAGGGAGCCATGGGCAGAAATGGATTTCCGCAAAGTTGTGAAGTAATATGGTTTTTCTTAAAACCGGCGTTGGGGAATAATGGGCTATAAGGACGAATAATGCATAGCGCACATTTGTTGTTTGGAGCTTGTTTACGTGTTTGATGGTTGATTGGCGATCAAAGTCCCCCAGCATGATCCCTCTTCATCTTTCTATGCTCTTACGTGTTATGTGCCATGTTTACTCGACTTGAGAAGACGCCATTTAGGCATCCTCTACTCAGCAGTAGTGCTTACCGTGGACTCCTTTTATCGATTTGATGTTAAGCTTGTTTTAAGGCTTGTAAATTTAATGTAAATTGGATCTTGTAATTAAATTTGTATTCAATTGCATTTTAATTTCCATGTAAGGCTTCATAGCCACTTAATGATGTAACTAGACTTATTTTTACTATATATGACGTACCAAGCTCGTTTAATGATTATATAAATGCATGGATGTCAAATAATTGTTGTATATGATCAAATGTATGTTTTCGGGATAGGTTAAAATGATATTTAGGTTCACAAATGAGCCAAGGGCTTAGACCACCAAAACAGGCCTTATGCCATTTCAATATAAACTGACATTTCAATATAAACTGATCGACGTGTCTAGAATCTGTTGTCCGATTTACATGAACCGGTTGACGTGTAACCTGCACGAGGTTACACATTGACCGAATCCTGTTGCTTCCAATCTTGACCCATTCAATGATGCCATTGGGCACTAGAAAGCCTAGTATGGTGTATTAATTACATATTGACATCAAAAAGCCTTGATATCCTACATGCGATTCCACGTAAAAGAGGAAACCAATTGGATTATGCCACATGTCATCAAAAGAACAAGAGTCTTATCACGAAAGTCCACATGGCATATAATAACCACGTAGTAAGTTTTGGTAATATAAGTTTTGAAGGTGGTTGACCAAGTCATCAAGGAAGGTAACAATTTGTTCCTACAATTTCTCCTATTTTGTAGGATGGTTCCAAAGACTCTAGCAATTGTTATGGAAAGAATGTCCAGGTACATTGTTTTGCTAGATTATGGCTTCTTTTTTTTTTTTCAAAATGGAAGCGTGGGTGATTGAGCAAAATAACGGGGAAGTATATATTCACACTTATACATACATATATATATATATATATATATATATGTAAATACCCAGGTGATGTCTAATTTATGCATGCAAAGTGTTATTAGAACATGGGACACTTGGCATCATGGAAACATGCCAAGTGGAAACTTCAACTGCAAAAGGGGTTACCAAGTTGAAAGAAATGTGCATATATACTGATGTATACGAATATGGATAATATATGTGAAAATAACTCAGAATTCTAGGAGAAGAAGGAAACCACATAAGTCATGAAACACCTGATAGCATGCAAGCGTGCTAGGTGTAGGTTTTCAGTTCTTCCATTCAAGTGCCCAACTACTGAAAGTTGATTGGGATCATGGACAGCATGGTTGAAGCTCTGGTATAATGAACTAGAGGAATACTGGTGTGCATGAGCCAGTAATGTTGTTTATGCAAAATATGAAAAAAAAAAAGAAAAAGAAAAGAAGAAGAAGAAGTATTTTACATCAATAGATTGTGTGATTGTACATATTGAGGGATAAAAAAACATTTAATGGAATTAATAATGAGGTTATCATGAAATGGTTTCAAGAGATGGAAAGTTGTTGGAGACAATTATTAGTATATTTAATGAAAATACTATGAATTAATATTTGAATTTTAGTATTTATCATTTTGGCTTAAGAAAATAAATATCTTATTATCATTCACGGTCATTTCCACAAAAAATAAATTTCTGACTCGGATCAAGAGATTCCACATGTGATATGCAAAAAGAGAACAAAAGAGAAAAAACGAAAAGGCACTATTACCTTACATTACTCCTTAAGCAGAATATGATCTTCATCATCTTCCTCGATTTCTTCTCTAAGACTTGCGACACTTGTTTCTGTTGTAGTAATTGAGGACAAAAGTTCATAATTATAAAAGGATAGCAGACCACGTACGCAGGAAAAAGAATGTCTATATAATCTTTTATTAAAATTTGATGACATTTCCATAGTTACCTTTCCTTTCTTGAAGGTGCTGTTGTACGTAGTAGTTATTGAGGTCACTAACTTTTTGTTCTGAGCCATACATTTCTTTATATACTTCTATCACAGGTCTGCTTATCCGTCCAGATGTGAATGTATGCATTTTGGGACATTTGTCCAGCGTAACATGCTGTAGGGATGGCATTTTAACAGCATTATTTGCCCAGCAAAAACTTGTGAGGTTTGCTAGTTGGCAGAGCTTTATAGACTGCAACTTGGGAAACACAATTTCATCCATGTCGTCATCCTTTCCACCTTGATCTTCATTTTTTATTATTTCTTCAATCGCATCACAATAAGCAACGCTCAGATGTTCAATATTTGTGAGATTTCTTGCCATTGAGAGTGAGAATAAATATTTCAGGCTATGGCAATATTGATCTGTTAAAGATCTTAGGTCGTGAAAGGGCAGAAGTCCCTGGGAGTCTATCATTCCAAGGTGCACCAATTTGGGTAAATGCAACTTTGTTATTTGAGAAGACATTTCCATAGTTACCTTTCCTTTCTTGAAGGTGCTGTTGTACGTAGTAGTTATTGAGGTCACTAACTTTTTGTTCTGAGCCATACATTTCTTTAAATACTTCTATCACAGGTGTGCTTATCCGTCCAGATGTGAATGTATGCATTTTGGGACATTTGTTCAGCCTAACATGCTGTAGGGATGGCATTTTAACAGCATTATTTGCCCAGCAAAAACTTGTGAGGTTTGCTAGTTGGCAGAGCTCTATAGACTGCAACTTGGGAAACACAATTTCATCCATGTCGTCATCCTTTCCACTTTGATCTTCATTTTTTATTATTTCTTCAATCGCAGCACAATCAGCAACAATCAGATGTTCAATATTTGTGAGGTTTCTTGCCATTGAAAGTGAGAATAAATATTTCAGGCTATCGCAAGATACAACAATTAAAGATCTTAGGTCGTGAAAGGCCAGAAGTCCCTGGGAGTCCATTATTCCAAGATGCACCAATTTGGGTAAATGATCTAATTGCAACTTTGTTATTTGAGAAGACATTGTTGCACCTCTTTCTTTGTCTTCAAGTCCTTCAAGGTTGAAGACAACTTCTAATGAAGAGCAATTTAACAGAGTGAGTTCTTCAACAACTTCAAACCTCTGTAGCAGAGCAGAAACATTCACTAACATGTCCCACTGATACACCTTCAACACTCTTACTCTACCAAATGATCCTGCTGGGACACGGCCATAACAAATATCTTCAAAGATGCTTCCATCGGAGAGTGCCAAATGTTCCAAGACAGGAAAAGCAACCTGCACAAAAGCATTCAGTACTCTTTCAAGCACGTATATTTGATCAAATAAATGCAACAGACAAAATTAATGGTCTCGCAATAAAAGAAATCATTGCCGGAAATTTTGGATATTCAAAGGAAAGCTTTACCAGATAATAATGGCAAGGTAAGGAAATTTTGGATCCAATGTGCATCAAAAGTTCAATACAAGAGAATAGCTGAATTCCTAGCTACTTCTAAACGTGTAACTCGTGGCAACAGTAAATTAAAGCTTGTTTGTTTAGACTGGAGGTATAATATAGAAGTACTGTACGCATATATATATATATATAGAGAGAGAGAGAGAGAGAGAGAGAGAGAGAGAGAGATGCTTCCAGTGCGATTCATATAAAAAAGAGCTTGAAAGGCTCGAGCAGTGAAAGGCTGGTTCTTGCACCAACATAAATATGCAGGACTGTTCTAGAAAAGAAATAGATCTAGGTTTAATAGCATTACAGTAGACGATGGATTTAGAAATCTAACACACAACATAATTGGAGTTTTGACAGACATTTCTCAACACGTACTACAACCCTCTCAAAAACCTATTGATCAATTTTGTAGGATTATCGAATGTTAAAAACTATTTCTCATGTAAATAAATTGATCAAATCGGTTTTTTTTATTTTTATATTTTTTTTAGTTGCAAAATAATTTTGAAGATTTAAGATGTGTTTGATTATGTTACCTTAAAACAATTTTAAGGAATTCTGAAAATCAATAAAAAAAAATTAGAATAAAGTATTTTTTTTTAAACAATGTCAAGCAAAACATCTTTTAAAATTGCCATTTCTTTTCTAGTGTTTTAGTTCTCTTATAACATAAAACTATTCTCGAAAAACTAAGTCAACCCTTCATTTGATTGTAACAGGAGTAAATTAATTAAAGGCATGCTAATGCGGAAATGAAAAAACTAGAGACTCGGGAGTACAAGGAGTGAAAGAAACCAGCACGAATGGTTTTTAATACATCTGCTAGAGACTCAAGAAAATATGTAAGATGATCAAACATTGTGACACGGTTTACGCTAGAGATGATTTGGGGTTGGGATCAGGACGAATCTAGAAATTCATATGAGGGAAAAATGGGGGATAAATTTATATTTAAAGGATTTTTTCATAATTTCAATAGAGACAATTTCAAAATTTTACGGATATAAATGTAAAAAATAAAATAAAATACAAATTTAGGAATCTAAAATGCAATAACAAAGTACATCCGTGCCCAGTTGGGACGTGTTAGAAACAACCAACGGTTTCATTGTCAAATACCAAACACCAGGGAAAGTCCACGGTAGAGTATTATTGCAGCGGGTAGACCATGAATTCCAGAGAATTCAAGGCTCCATTCTAAAATTCAAAGATGCATCAGCATTTGAAAGGTAAGGGTTAGTTGTATTGTGTGTGTGTGTGATACATATATAATTGTACAACGCCCGAAGTAAGGCACAAATCCTTGCAACCCTTGGAAGCCCATACAAGGTCCAAGGCCCAAACAAAGGTACAAAGCCTTACAACCCTTGGAAGACCACATAGCCCATCCTAAATGTAAATAAATTGCAAACAGTAGCGATTGTAGAACAGCTAGAAGTGATTGACCAGAAGGAATTAATGACGCACCTTTTCTTTGGAGAAAAAGAAAGCTGCAGATTTCAAGTTGGGACAGCCCATTATTGTCATGTTTACTAAGGATGGCAATTCAGAAATGGTCTCCAATTCTTTTTGTATATCTTTATCTCTTGCAACTATTCCTTCCTCGGCATTTGAACCCCCTTCAACTTTAAATACCTCTTCCAGGGACCAACAACAATTTATGCGAAGTTCTTCTAGGTCCTGAAAACTTTCAAGCAATTTTGATGGAGCAACACTTTGTAGTTGGGAACAATATTCCACAATCAGAGTTTTCAGTTTGCAAAAAGACTCGGTTGGAACTGTGTTGTTCCATATCTGCTTTACATTGTGGTTCATCTCATATTGAAAGTTCTCCAAACAAGGAAATTTGACCTGCAAAACATCAACTTTCTGATCTTATTAACCAAGATAACCATTAGTTATAAAAAGAACAAAGAAAATGGGGAAGGACAAACCATCATTTCTATAGAACATCTTCGCTCCAAGAGGTTCTTGATATTCATTGAATGCTTAACAATTAATTAATGCCAATAATTTTTCATTCGATTTCCTATCTTGTTAATGGTACTTGTTTGGAGTACGTTTGGTTGTTTAAATTAGTAAAATACTCCTAAATTCCTTGCTATGTTGAATTTGTATGCAACAAAGACCAATATTAAATGATTAAATCAAGTAGTCCTGTAATTTTGTGAAAAAAGAATAGAATTTCATTTAGGATTAATTGGAAAATACTTCTTGTGAATGACCAATTTATATATGTGTGTGTATATATTATATCTTGTGTGTATGGGAAGAGTATATGTATATATATTATAAATGTGGTCCAGATTTTAAAAAATACTATTATTTTTTTTTTTTATTTTTCCTTACCTAGAAAAAAATTACTCACGAAAAGCACTATGTTGTGATGCTTTTGGTTTTCTATTAAAAGAATTCTCAAAGTAACCAAATGTCATCCAAGCACAGAAATAGAAAGTTTAAAACATTTAGTGATTTAAAGGCAAGTGCATGGGGTATTACGGAGTGGCCTAGTTGGTAAAGCGCTTAACCCACATATAATTTTATATTCAAAACATATTACAATCTAAGAAGAGCGCCAAAATTATTATTACTATTTTTTTCATTTTTTTTCTTTAGAAATGTACTAAAACAATGTCTATATATGAGCGTAATATTTACAGGCTAAAGGCTTGAATTCCTGGTTACTGGCATGATTTATACATATTTAAGATATAAAGTAACGTGCACGTAGGTGACAATGGCCAAAAGAACTGACCATGCCAGAAAGGGTTATAAAGAAAACGTCAAAAATGCGGATTTTGAGCACTGCATATTTGAATTTGGAGTTCGGATATATATATATATATATATATATATATATATATATAGTTCATACCTTGTAATTGAAGAGGGCTTCTACTTGGGGAATATTGTCATCATCAACTGCTGCTTTTTTGGATCCACAGAAACTTTTGAGGTTTGACAATTGAAGTAGACTCATTGTGCTTAATTGAGGGAACACAATAATCTCATCATTCCTTACCTCTTCTTTTCCTTCTCCCGTTTCAAATGCAATTATCTCTTCTATGCACGCACAGTCTATTACTGCCAAATCTTGTAGCTGCCCAAGATTTCTTGCCATAGATGATGAGAATACATTTCTCAAACTATGACAGTGACGAATCCTGAGAGATGTTAGGTTTGAATAGGCACCAAGTCTGTGATCAGGATGTTCCTTTCTGTTCAAACCCATGAGCATCAGCATAGGTAGTGACTCAAGATACATTGATTTTAACCGAGGTAGTTCAATTTCTGGTGCTCTTGTTGCTGACCCTTTTTCAACCGTACGCACTTCAACTAATGATACCACTGAATCACACCGGTTAACACTGAGTATTTCCAGATTCTGTAACCTTGAAATCAAAGTGGAGGGTATCACATTCACCAGTTTCTTACATTCTTCTATCGTTATGCGACTTACCTGCTGGAAGGATTTTTCTTTTGCTTCCGAACCTTGGAATAATTGGTTTTCCCATATTGCTGTAATACTTTCCAATTTTTCTATCCTCAATTTCTCCAATGCAGGGAATGAAACCTGCAAAATTCATCATATTACGATCAATTCATAACTTTAGGATCCCCAGCTCTTTATTTAACTAGTGCTATTACTAAATTTTGACTCCTATCAATATAAGGGTGAGCAGCAAACAACTCTGGTTTATTGTATGTCTGTGTCATAGGAGAGTTTAAGTGGTCTTACAGGTTATATTTAGGTTTAAGAGTGAGATTTTTTTGACTCGTCAATCTATCAACCACAAAAGGCTCGTTTATACCAGTAGTTTTCCTAAAACTGAAAATCATGGAGAATGAGAAGCGAGACTCCAATGAGCCCTGGTTGCAATTGGTATTGGGTGACAGACTAGTCCTCGTACAACTTACTGAAAGAGTTAAACTGGAATACTTGTATTGGGCAAATACTAGTTGCTGAAATTGGACAATTAGTTTATTTACTACCAAGGACTATATGGCAAACAGTTTTCAAGAAAAAGATGTTCTCATCAATTAAATAGAGTGTTTTGACTGCAAGAGCATACCTTTTCATTAAAGAGAGCTTGTGCAAGGGCGGAAGTATTGCACTCTGTAGTTGACGTTTTCTTCGTATTGGAGCAGATGCTTCTGAGGATTGGCAGATCATACAACCTCATTTTCTTTAATTGATGAAAAATATCTTTATCCATTACTTCCTCATCCTCTAGAATTATTTCTTCCATGATTCTGCATCCTGATATATGTAATTTTTGGAGTTGTGGAAGAGCTCTTGCTGTGGATGAATAAAACAGAAATTTCCAAGTACAACCTTCAACTATTAGCACACTTAATTTGCAGAAAGAACCCTGAGTTTGTAAATTCCTTTTTAGTCTGCCAAGTAGATGTTCCATGTCACTGCAGTCCCTAATTTGAAGATATTTCAAGTCCAGAAACCCCTTTCCATCTCCATAGTGAAGCACATTCTTTAAACCTTTCAGGCTGCTTAGAAAAAGTACTTCAGCTTTCTCCATCAAAACATTAAATTCCTTCCTCAAAGTAACAGAATCAAGTCTCAAGATCCTTGCTCCCAAGTTTTCTTCACCATATTCAAAACCCTGAGTCCTCCCAACCGATATTTTAAATCTGTTCAACAACTCAAAACTGAGCTCATTGGGCAGTACCATGCCATCTCCTATGTGAATTTGTAAAGTGGTTAAGTGAGTCAATGACTTAAGTTCATCAAGCCCTACACTCCCTTCATCCCCCCATCCCACAAAGTTGGGTGGAATGTACAATTCTTCCATGTTGGATAGACCTTTTATGACACCTGATGGAATCATCTCGAGCTTTTCACATTTCCTTAAATCCAACCACCGTAAGCCAGTCAACTGTCCTACTTCCACAGCCATCTCTTTGAGATCAGAATCAGCAATGCTTAGGATCTCAAGATTTCTTAATTTCTTGAGAGAAGCTAGGTTGACCTTTTCACAGCCATATAGACGCAACATCCGAAGGTTGACCAGATTTAGAAGTGATGATGGCAGCTGAACTAGATACAAATCTAAAACTTCAACCTTTTCAGTCCGTTTAAAAAAGCTATCTGGAACTTGTGCTTTAGGATCAGCGCGGCATGCCAATAGCAAAGTGCGCAGTTCTGGACATTCCAACTGACAGGGGAGCACACAAATATTTTCAGATATCAATGAGATTACCTTGCGGGATTCATATTCATCTTTCTCTGGCCACCTTGGTACACCTATTTTTGCTAGAAATCCCTCTCTTGATGCAAATGTGATTGCAACATCTCGAATAATGTCATGCATTTTGACGAACTCCTTACTTTTACCTTCTAACAGCAAATGAGATCTCTTCAAGATACCAACCAACACATGAATTCTATCTCTAGCTGTTTTCATTGTATACGAGCTGTCCTCGAGAAACCTCGTTCCCACTCCATACATCACCAAATCATCAATCGGAATTTCAAAATCTTCTGGATACATAGAACAACGTAGAAAGCAAGACTTAACATCTGTCTGCTTTAGATAATTGTAACTCCACTCTATGCGTGAATAAAGTTTTTCGTATATTCCCTCAATGTTATCACCTCGACAATTGTTCAATTGTGAAAGTGCATCATCCCAAGCAGGCTTTTCTTTTTGATCCCTTAGTGATGCTCCAACAACAAGAATTGCCAAGGGTAAACGACCACATTCTCCACACACTTGTTTTGCAACAGAATGAATTTCATGAGGAGATTCAATAAAATCTCCCACCGTTTTCTTAAACAGGATCCATGCTTCATCTTGCTGTAGAAGTCCAATTGGAAAGCGTTTTAGAACCCCCATCTTAATGAACACATCTTCTCTCCTAGAGGTTAACAAAACTTTGCAGCCCTTGATATGATTATCATTAGATGGGATTCCTATCTTCTCCAACTCAAAATCATCCCAAATATCATCAATTACTACAAGGATTTTTTTCCCCCTTTTCAATCTGTTGGACAACTCCCCCTTTCTCCCAACTTCAGTGTCTGTGTTGAATGACAGATTTAAACAGTCTGCAAGCTCTTTTTGAATTTTTTCCAAATTTGGAGTTTGGGAGAAGACTGCCTTGGCAACCTCATCAAAAAAGTTGTTTTTTTTAGCCTGTTTTGCGATTTCTTCCACCATTCTTGTCTTTCCGGTACCTGGCATTCCATGTATCCCAATGTAGTAATTTTTATGGTCTGTCAACGCCTGTATGATCTGTTCATGAACAGATAATCTGGATTCAAACTGCTCAAAATTTGTGGTAGCTGTGTACCAAATAGCAGGGTGTGCAACTGTTTCAAACTTGTCGCCAACATCTATTAGCCCAGAAAGACCAGACGACAATTCTTTACCTTCCTTACTAAGCCGATACCTTGAACAAACATTAAAACATGACTTGATGTTTCTTTTGTCTACCAATATTCTTTCCAAGTCTTCCTCCTTTTTACTCACATCCGTTAGCCATTGCGAAACAGCCTCTTCAATGACTTCCGCACTGTTCTCAGCAGTAACGACTTTTTCTTTGATCTTGTCCCTCAAGCCTCGAAGATTTTCGACTTTAGCATCAAGGTCATCCATATTTTTCTTGTAATGAACCACATGACCAATTTGACGCCCAGTGGATGTCAAGAAGCACCCAGTAAGTAACTCTACCATCTTGCCCACCACAGCATTAACAATGGCACATTCCATTTTCAGCTCACTAGCTACCTTTTTTCCTGTATAGAAAGCAAATAGCAGCACATGAAATATAGAGAGCTACAACTGTTAGTATTAAAGAATTTAAAAAAAGATATATATAGTTGGGTACGTACCTTTAACAAGCTTAAGGATTTGATGGGATAGAACTACTTTGATTCAGATTGCTTGCTTAATTCCACCACCCCGACAAGTCTGATTTTAAACGAGAGATGATTTAGAAAAAAGTAGAAAAATGAATGCAGCAGATGCAGAGAAATATTTATTCCATCACCACCACCACAAGTCTGATATTTTGTACAGAAATTTCGTAAAAAAAAATTTCTTTTTTTCTTTTTCTTCGGGAAGGGGTTGCATAATATGTTAGGAAGCTTAATTTATCTGCACGAATTTTACATTCACTGGTGCATTTAAATCCAATATGGAAAATGACTTTGGTTTTCGTATTTAATAGAATTTGGATTTTAATGGAATTTGAAGAAACAGGGTTTAATATTTTTCTTAGCTTTTTTAACCAGAATTAATTTCCAAGCACTCCTATACATGTATGCTTGACATAATCACCGAGCTTGAGTCGATTCTCTTATCAAGCTGTACTAGGGACATCAAAATCATTCAATAGCAAGTATTTTATGAACTACCACTTAGAAAAGTGAAGCATTGACTTATTTACCAAAAAAATTGAAAAGTGAATCATTGACTTGAATTATTTTTGATTGTTTATTCCTAAGGTATTGGAATTAGAGAGCATTTAGGGTTGAAGATAAAACAATGCCAAGTGATTCCAAATGTATTCGAGTTTGAAACTTGAACATTCCTGAGGAGGTTAAATACATTATACTCTTTATTTAGAAATAGTGGTTTGGTTTACGTTTTGAGACTCTAGATACCGCATTTTGCCTCGCTCCTATTACAGCTATTTTTTGTCAATCAAACTGTATAAATTCCATCAATAGATATAATTAAGTAGCTCCAAAGACTCCATATCCTTTCCGAATGTGACATTTTATCATTACAAGTCATTCTAAGGTGATTCCACCATTTCATTGTAGAATCACTCCAAAATAGAGCCTCAATTAGGGTTTTGGTCTCTTAATTTTGGTCCAGTTAACATCAAGATGATCTAAAGACTCCAAATCCACCGCAAATGTGAATTTTCATCATTTCTTAATATTTCAATTCGTTCCCATCGTCAGATCGTAGAATTGATTCCAAATTTGGCCTAAATTATGAATTCTGGTGATTCCACCATTTCATTATTTTTGATTGTTTATTCCTGTTTTTATTTATTTTTTTTCTAGTTGGATGATCATTTTTTTTTTTTGTAATGTAATGTTAATTGGCCCCTAGACATCTATAAATACCTCCTTCCTCCATCAAGAAAAAGGTAATACAACCTAGTGACATCCTTTTTGTAATCTGAAAAGGTCCTGAGCCTCAGAACGGTCTCCAAACCTCCCAAACTCCATCCAAAACATTAAACCAACCCTCTCCTATTAAAAGAGTTCTGTAAGGGTCCGATTTATTTATTTATTTTTTTTTACACATCTATAAATACCTCCTTTCAGTCATTACGAAAAAGGTAAGACAGCCTAGTGACCTCCTCTTTGCAATCTGAAGTGGTCTTGAGCCTTCAAATGGCCTCCAAACCTTCCAAACTCCAATCTAAGCTATCCAAAACATAAAACCACACTCACCTCTTCCAAAATTAATTAAGAATCCTCCGTTGAGGACCAAGGAATTCTCTTGAAGAAATAGCATTCAACCTTTGCTGGTTATTCATACTAACCGTTGATGTGGTCCAATCATAAATGCACAAATAGTATATAATTACAAAATGTGAAAAGTGATAAATAAGGAAGTCAGAGAATGTGACTGAATTTATTCTTTAAAAAAGTTATTTTCATTATTTATCACTTTTTTGATTTTATAATTATAGACTTTGTATATTTGTGATTGAACCACATCAGCGGTCAATAGGGATGACCTACTTACCGGTGAGTAGGCAAGTGTAATGTTTTTGATTTTTATCATTTTTCATTTTCGGGTATCTTTTTGATTTTTTGGGATTAATTCCGTTTTGTCTCGTTTTGCGTGCCAAACACCGTAGGATATGCCAAGTGTATTTGAGTGTTGATTAGGACATTTCCTTGAATCCAGGACTCTTAGAAATGTATTGGTTGTCAGCATTTTTCTGTTTTTTGGCCAGGAGGTCTTAGGTGGGACCCGCTATGGGGTGGTTGAGTACGGGAGTTATGTTACGGGTCCATTGCATTTCATACATTGTTTTTTGTGCATATTTATTTGATTAAATGATTAATATGTGGTGGTTAAGTGATTGGCGTGTGTGTGTGTGTGTGTATATATATATATATATATAAATATCAGTAAATGGGAGATATTTTTATTTTTGTGGAACCCACTGATATGCTACCATTATAATGGCCTTACACAGCCACCAGTTTTTCTCTTGCCATTCTCTCTCTCCCTTTTATTTCCTTTTTCTTTTTCTTCGTCAATTTCAAGCTCAAATCTTGAACTCATCTTCGAGAATTTGATTTTGCCACTTAAGGCAAAGTCAACGAGCGCATCGAGATCTTCGTTTTGATCAGAGCAAAGTGTTGTTTGGTCACCCTTTTGGATTTCAAAAATTTTGTGTATTTAGAACTTTTCTTCAATTAAGAGGTAGGGATATTCTAATCTACAACTTCTTTGGTCCTTTGTGAATTTTTCTCTCAAATTTTGATCATAAGCATGCTAAAATTTAGTTATCTTGTCTATATTTGTTGTGGTTGTACATAATCAAGATTATAAATGTGTTCTATGTGTTAATTAAGTTCATATACATGACTATTTTCATTGTGGTGAGAAGCATGCTTAGTATTGACATGTTGTATGTCATGTGATTTATTTATTTATTTATTTTTTATTGCTATGAAAATTGATGTTATAGTTGTGAAAATAAATGCTTAGAACTCCCTATCAAAATGTGATGATGATGTAGATGGAATGTGTGGAATTTTATGGTTAAATTGGTATTTAGAAGCATTCATACATTCATTGGGAAAGAAAAAGGGAAATGTTTGAAAAACAATTGAAATTGTTTTGGGAAAATATTTTTGAAAAGTGTTTGCGAAAACCCGGACGCCTAGGAGTCGCCTAGTGGTTTGTGGCGTTAGTGTGGTATAGAGGGGATTAAGGAGAGACCCTAGCATGGTTGAGCTACCTAGGCCCTTTAACGATGCCTTGGAGTTGCCACGTGGTCGGGGATAGTTAGTCAATCCTCCTCTCGTGATGCCATGGAGTTGCTATGGGTCGAATTGCACTAACGGTTTGGAAAGGTGAAATGGTATTGTTTCAGAAATGGGGAGCGACATTGCGTGACATTGCATTTCATTGGCATGCGTTGTGCATTTGGTGGTTGAATGATTGGTATACATTCCTGTTATGGTTGTTGTTTTCTTTACTTCCCGAGATATGATCCCGTTCACTTGTACTCTATTCTTTATGTGGATTCATGGGGTTATAAGAGGTGTGTCTTAGATACTTCCTACTAAGCGGTTGGCTCACCCTATTTTATTATTAACAATTTTTTAGGATATGGAAAGGCAGTGGTGGATGATGATCAACCACAAGCTTGAAGGGACTAGAAGATATTTTACCATCTTTTGTTTTGTTTTTTTTTCTGTTTTTTTTTTCCCCCCATTCTTTTGTAAAGCTTCATCTTTGAAATGTGTTCATTTTGTGAAGCATAGCCTTATATTGTAACTATGATTTCTTGACAGTATTTTGATGTATTTTGAACTAATTATAATAACTATGTTGATGTCCAGCATAGAATGGAATAGTGATGGAAAAATTTGGGAAGCCTATTGGTGTGTATATTTTTATAGAATGTTGTTTAAATCTTACCGTGAATTCGGGAACCTTCATTAGCCAACCGGACCTTCACCTTCAGCCGACCAAACCCTCATGTTCAGTCGGCCGACAGTTTATCTTTTGGAAGTCCCGAGAGTGTGCACTTTGGCACATCATTTCAGCCGGCCAACCCTTTCAGTTAGCCAACCAAACATGTTCTTTTAGTAGGCCGATATATGGCAATCAGCCAGTTGACTTTGTCATTTTCATCTATGGTTGTGATCCTCTTTTAGGAAGTTAGAGTCCAGGAGGTTATGAACCTAAGAATGAGGTGTGGATGACGCATTGACGTAAGGAAGGACGGTTATGCCCTTAATTGACCTCAGGTTCGGATAAAGACCCGACTAACAGTTCGGATCCTCTGGTTCGAGTCGTTACAAATTTGGTATCAGAACAATGGTTCGAAAACCATTAGGATGGTGGGTAGAGGCCTACCTAAGATTGAATGGGAAGTGAATTACATGTTTACATGCTTATGTGTTAAAATGTTTAGTTACTTAAAAAACATGCATATTTGCTTACTTGCTTAACTGCTTACGTGATTACATGCTTATGTGTTTATGTTGACGCATATTAGTAGTATGCATGTCTATCATTGGTTGGGTATTCCGGGAGTATGGAAAATGTTAAAGTGTCGTCATTTCATGTCAAGTCATTCGTATGAGGACTCCGTTCTCGTGTGTATTTTCGTGTCATCATTTTTGATTCGTTTCTTTTTTCTTATAATATCATGCCACCAAGAAGGGATCCAGAGGAGAGTTCTAACTTTAATTCCATGGAGAGGGATTCGGAGCATGTTGAAGAGAATGTTTTGTTACGTAATTTGGTCCTACCTAAAGGGGGGCAAGTGAGGAGGATTATTGAGCCGCCTACTCAAGTGGGCGAGATGGGGTTTTCGTGGGAAAGGTATGACCTTAGAAGGTTGGTGTTTGTGACTTAGGTCATGGTATAGTGTGAAGGTTCTTTTCGAACCGATTTGTGATAGGTGTGATGGATGTTGCTAGAGTCACGAGTGTAGTCTATAGGTTGTAGACGTGTATTCTGGATATTCTAGTACGGTCCACGAACGTATGGTAGTTTTGACTGTTAAAGGGATTTATTGGACTCTATAAGTCTAAGATGGCGCGGGCATTGACTGGAGTCATGCCAATGTTGGTGACCAATGGTTAGAAGTGGTTCATTTTGTGGTTTTGTAATAGTCTGTTTTAGGGACTGGTTTGTCGAGGAATGATTCCCATTTCGGATAGCTACAGGAGCGTGTTGTGGGTAATTGACTT